AAACATATTTGCTTCCCATTTTGAGATCTGAATTAATGAAACCATTATTATTCTTTCTTCTTCTCCCCTCTCTTAGACCAAATCTAGAATTCCATCAACAATTCTTCAACAAAATCTAAGGTTTCAATGAGGAAGAAGAACCATGTCAGATCTCTCGATGAGAATAACGTTTGGCTTGAGAAAATCATTGTTGACCTTCACCCAATCGTTGACGATTTCTCGTTAGATCCAGAATCTCAACATAGTATATAACCGGATTTCTTCAAGCATTCATGTCTACCGAGTCTGATTCCTTTTGCAGACGATGATCGCTCTCTCTACCGGCAATTTGTGATCATTCAATTGTGTTATCCACTGATAATTGTCCTCGCACCGTTGTCCACTATTAGTTATCAATATGGTGTTGTACGTGTGGTTACAAAAGTTGGAATGAGTTGTCTATCATGGGTTGTTTAGTGGATTTGAATGAAATTGATAACTTTTGTTCATCACATTTCGTATGTCTTATATACTAATCAAAGATGCTTAATTTTGTATGATTTAAAGGAACATGGTTCCTCGGATGAGATTGTATCCACAATTATTTATCCACCAAATTGTGTCTGTGATATCATGTATTCATGTTTACAATCATTATAATAGCTAATACATGTTAAATGACAATGTGGTTGTAATTAACATGGCTAATAACTTATAATGAAGAAGAGACCAATGTTAATCCAGGGGCATGTAGTTTGTTTTAATTCATGTCAATCATAGTTTGTCCAGTTGAAGGAAGGCCAATGTCCACATGAATATGACCACGTAACAATACAGTCTCTCTTTGACCATCTTTCATACCAATGCAAGCACATTTGTGGACACTGAAATTGTGTCGGAAAGTTCACCAGAAACTTTGAATTTTGTCGAGTTTAAGTAGATGAAGAAGATAAGCAAGTGATTGGAGGATGAGTTGATGAAGATAAAGGAGGTGGTTTTTGTCGAAAGTAAAAGAGAAGAGCAAGAAGGTGGTTTTGGTTCAACAAATGGTAATTGTGGTTGTGGTTGAACACCTGAATTTTAGCAAATGTTTACTTGCCCAGAAATTCAACCACCGTCATGCATCGATTACGCGAAAAAATTTGCCCAGAAATTCAACCACCGTCACGTATTGATTATGCAAAGTACACATCAATTTACCCAGAAATTTAACCATTATCACGCATCGATTCAACTGGAGAAGAAGAGGAGATAATAGGATGGTGACAAAGCTCAATTTCCGGTATGAGTAATCAATGCAGATTACGACATCGGGAGAGACACAAAGGTTCCAAATTTAAGAAAGAGATCAGAAAGAAGAAGATAAAGAGATTTTAAATTCAAGAAAGAGGTCTGGAAAAAGATCGAGATTTGTGTTTGAAAGAAGAAAGAGAAACTTTTTTATTATTGTTGTTTTTTTATGCGAAAGCGATCAGAAATAAAGAAGAAGAAAGATGTATTAGATAGAGGGCATAAAAGTCATTACCTTACAAAAAATGTATTTGGTTTTCAAAGTGTCCCTAATAAAATAAGTTTGTAAGAAAGTGTGTCCTAAGGCCATCCACATTGGAGACATTTTACCAATGTCTCACAATATAAAAATATTAAAAACACACTCTCTCTTCCTTTTACTCAACTTTATATCTTCTCATTCATCCTTTTACTCAACTTTATACCTTCTCTTTCATCTTTTTACTCAACTTTTATTAATTTTATATTTAAACACACCCCAATTCTCTCTCTTTTATGTTTTCTCCAGGACACAATCTCTCCAAAAATACCCACTATCTCTTCTCTTTACTCAAATTTTATTAATTTTATATTTCAATACACCACACTATTTCAACAAAAAACACTCTTTTTCTTCTTTTTATTCAAATTTTAATAATTTTATATTTAAAAACACCCACATTTTATTACCAATGTGGATGCTCTAATGTAATTGTTCCCTAGTTTCACATCAACCATTGCAACTTAACTATATCAAATACTCACTTATTATGTGTATCCTTTTCCCTTATTTTTCACATTATCTTTTACACATTATATAAACACTTTCACATTTGGGTTCACGATATGGACTACTTATAATCCATTGCCATTGCATTTATTCATGATATAAAGAAAAGATAATAGTGGCATTGCATCACACAATATCATAGTTCCTTCTTAATAAACTTAGCCGCATATTCTAAGTGTTCACACATTGTCACATAATCATGGCGAGTAAATCAGTGAAACACGACCCCCA